ATCATTCAGAATTGAAGGTCAGATAAAGAGCTTCACAGATAAGAAAAAGCTAAAGGAGTTCATCACCACCAAGCCAGTATTATATGAAATGCTGAAAGGTATCCTTTAAGAAGAGGAAGAAGAAAGAGGTAAAGACAAAAATTATGAACAGCAAATACATATCTATCAACAAGTGGATCTAAAAATCAAGTGAATAAAAAATCTGATGAACAGAATAAACTGGTGAATATAATAGAACAAGGGGCATGGAAAGGGAGTGGACTGACAATTCTTGGGGGGAAAGGAGAGTGGAGGTGCAGGTAGAGACTGGTCAAAAATAGTACACCTATGGATGAGGACAGTGGGAGGGGTAAGGGCAGAGGGTGGAGTGGGAACTGGGTGGAGGAGAGCTATGGGAGAAAAAAAGAGGAACAACTGTAATAATCTGAACAATAAAGATTTAATTAAAAAAATAAATAAGACAAGTCATCTCCCCCGACACACAGATGAGTGATGACCAAGAAATCATCGAACTGTGGCATTTACAGGCCTAGATGGTGAGATTCCAAAATCCAGGTGACAGAGTGCTTATAGAAACCCGAGAAAAAACCTACCTTGGAACCTGGTGACAAGGCCCTCACTGTAACCATGAGATTATAGCAGTTTGCTAATATTGCTCATTATACCACTTATGAGAGGAAATAGTGTATGTTTATGTGTTTTTATTTTCCATTTTCATGGTTACCCTAACAAATCAACAATAGCCAGATAGCTACATTTGGAAACACAAACTCCAGAGCAATGGAGCGGTGAGGTTTTGTGGAGGGGAGGGTGTGCCAGTGCAGGCGCAGGAGGGTCCCAAAGAGGCTGGTGCTGGCTGGGCCCTGCCATCCTGAGGGAGCCCCAGGGACCTGGAAAGAGGCAGCGTCCTGCAGTGACCCTTGCTGACAGCAGGTGGCAGCAGCAAGCAGCTCCCCATCACAGAGCATTCCAGTATGGACTCCTAGTCTGTATTGAAAACTTGTGAACCAGATGCAGCGAAGTGTAGAAGTGCATTTATCTTCAGCATTTCAACTCACATCATGATGGTAAATGCATGGATGTTAAGCTCAAAGGCAATCCTTGGTGGCATTCTGTTGTCAACATTTTTATTGGCTTCAGTGATTGTAGAGAAAGCAGGCTATTTCAACTGACTGATGACATAAAGTTGGAAGGAATTGCTAATGGACTGAATATGGGGCACAGAAAGATCTGGGTGGGCCAGACAGATGAACCCAAATCAGCAATGAAATTCAACAGGAAATATAAAGCCCTTAATAGACTGGAAAATGCCATGCAACATGAAGGACAAAGGGAAAATCTGATTTTATAGGAGAGAACTCTGAAAATTGGAGACAATGTAACTGTTCACTAACAAGGGGATGGTTACATAGCTTATGGCTCAGTCATTCTATGGAATACTATACATTTTCTAAAAAGAGCAAGTTAGAGGTATACATATCGACCAGGAAATATCTCAAAGGTATATTATTAAATGAGAAGCTACCACAGAAAAGAATTATGTAAGAATGCAAACCAAAGTGGTTCTGTATGAGTGCATGTAAGTACCTGTGATGGCATAGAAAAGACTGGAAGGATAGACACTGGGATGTTCATGCTGATGCTTTAGAATAGGGGCAAGAAATGGGACTTCCAGTTTTGACTTTATATGCTTTTGTATTTACTTTTTAGCGCAAAAACGTTTATATATCAATTCTATCATTACATAATCACACTGGTGGCCTTTTAATTGAAAATGAGGAAAGGTGATGAGGCTGTTAGAAAGCTAACTCAAGCTCAGACTACGTTAGTATTAATGCTGTGTCAGAACTTGATCTTTTCCCAGCTATTTAAAAGAAACGTACTTGGGTCCAGCAGAAAGCAGAATAGGTGCTGGACATTTCAACACAGCTCTCATGAGTCCATCTGCACTGCCTGCCCCTCTTTAGCCTCCTTCCTCTTGCTGTCCCCCTGACTCTGGTGTCTGGCCTTTCTCTCTCACTGTACAACTTTCCTTAAGACACCATTTGTTCTGCTTCCTCGTTTCCATCAGGGCTTTTGGCAGAGCGGCCCTTCCTAAGCACCCAATAGTAAATAGCAATTGCCATTGCCCCTGGAAAATCCTAGTTCCCTTCTGCTGGTTTGTTTTTCTCCATTGCCCGTCTGCAGCATATATAACCTAAGGGTGTGCCTGTATAGTCTACCTCCTTCAACATGAAGACCAACGTTTTGCTTTGTTACAGTTCTGGTGCCTACTATTTGCTGGCATTCAGTTGTACTCAATAGATATTGGTTGAGCAAATGAGTAATTAGAGCTGTGTAGGAATGGAGGGGCAGGCATCTCACAGTTAGGGAAGACTTCCTTAACCCCATCAGCACAGGGAAGATGGGGAGTCCCTATGATGCCAGTTACAAGCTGCAGGAACGAGAAATGCACTACGGAAATTCTAGAAGTCCAGTTGACACCCTTCGTGTGATAGCAACATCTACGATTGACCTTTGAGCATGATGGTCTCTGCCTGAGCTTATCTCCCTGGCCCATTCCATAGGAGTAGTCCTATCTGGAGGGTTGAGAGAAAAAGTTTTTGGTACTGTGTATGGAAGGTACCTAACTAGGTGAACCAAAGCTTTCTGTAGTAGCCTATTGATATTTCTGTAATTTCAGAGTGTTATAGCTGTCACCACCTGAGCTTTTTCGCTGTTACATGGGCACTCAATTATTCCTCTCCCATCTATGTGGCTAGTGTCTTCTCTCCTGTATTTCAGGCTTGATGTAAGTGTGCATTTTTTTCAAGTTCCCAGTGTATCAAGATTTGCTTGAGTCATTCCTATCTGAAATGCCATCCAACATCTTTCCAACTTGAGATCTAATGAATAGATGGCAATTTTTTACTCAACAATTTTCTATGTAGAGGGATTCTGCACAAATTATCTGACCTGATTGCCATTAACCTTAGGAAACTGAAGGCTGGAGAAATGAGGGAGTTGCTCTATCCATGGTAGACCCTCACGCGCAGTACCTGCTAGTCTGCAGTTGACCATTAGGTCAGTGATAGCAATGACTGGCAACTCAGGCCCAGGCCACCCTGGAGAATATATTTGTCCTCTGAGTTGTCCCTGATCCACTCATAACAATTGTGATCCACCTTTTGACAGTTGCACATATACAGAAGAGTTGTTTGAGATCACAATTCCCATTATTAATATACCTTGTACAAGACAGAATTAGCAGTGGGGCCTTACCCATGTCCTAAACTCACAATGCTCAGCTGTGCTGGAGGCCTCCAGAGGGCTGGCCTGCATGAGGCCCCAGGCTCGACACAGCTAACCTGATAGAGTCCTTTGGTGGAATCTTAAAAAACAAACAACATAGCCCTTCCTTTTTAAATTAGTGATTTGAAATATATATTTAGGATTACTATTTTCAGAGTTCAAGCTCTAATTTTTAGGCCTGTGGCCAGATCTCTTTTTAAGTCCTTAAAAGTGGTTAGAAGTCCTCTATAATTATCTGGCCCAGTCTTTAAGACCTTGAAAGTAATAGTTTTCATGGTTCGTAAGAGTGAACACACCTATTTAAAATCCATGTGTGTTTTAACAGGCTGTGTGCAGAGCGCCTTGGAAGGCAGGGGCTACCTCTTACTGTTCTTCTATCACCTGGATGAAAGTTGGCTGGTTTTGGTTCTTTTAAATTAATTTAAAAAATGTGTGGTTTTCCATAGAAATACTCATAATTATTGATGTATAGAATGCCTTGAAGGCCTTGGACTAAGGACAGGGCTGGCACTGCTGTCTTGGGGAGAGTGCCTGAGGGACACCCATAAAGGGACAGCTGAACCATTGGTTTTATTTCCCATGAAAGTGGGTACCAAGGAGTAAAAAGGAGTTTCTAAGATTAGCTTTGATTACATACAAACACACAGAAAGACAATCTTGCAGAAAAGACATCTGATAGAATTTTTCTCATGCCTCAGCCAACCTTTAGCATGAATATCGTTTTAAAGTGTCAGTTCCCAGGATTCTAGGAGCCACATTGGCCCTGTGAACCCAGCCCGGCATCCTCCAGGCTACAAACCCAATCTGCACACCACACTGTGAGTGTATAAAAAACCTGTTGTGGTCAGCAGGTGGTTGGGCACAAATCATCTTCTTTCTCCCTTCCCTGCCAAGCTTTCTAGTGACAGAGCTTTTCTGTAACTGGGAGAAGACCTGAGGATGGTGAACAGACAACCTGGAAACTTACCTATTTGGTGTCATTATGCTTACAACATGAAACTCCTTATACAAAATTGACTATAGATGACATTAAAATGTGCTATTATATTAAAAACTGTAATAAATTTTAAATAACTATTATATGAATTTGTATTTTAAGATTTTAAATATTTGAGACATTATAAAATTATTTAGTTACAAGCATGTACTTAAAGCTATTGTTTATTACAAAAATATTTTTACAATGCTATTCTTGGCAAAAGAAAAATGTTTACCCTCATTGAAGAATGTTGAGTACAATTTTTTGGAAACCAGGTCAAGCATCATGATAATAATACTAAGGTTCAATGTGTCCTAGAGAACTGCTAAATATATCTAAACCATAGTGTCTATTTTTTTAAATGTCTATTAATTCTATTTTCACTTTTAAAAAATTGGAAGCTGAAGAGGAAAGCAAACAAACTTTTAAAATAGATGAAACTCATATTTTAATCACCAGAATTTAGAGTCTAGTCCAGTGATGGCGAACCTTTTGAGCTCAGCGTGTCAGCATTTTGAAAAACCCTAACTTAACTCTGGTGCCGTGTCACATATAGAAATTTTTTGATATTTGCAACCATAGTAAACAAAGACTTATATTTTTGATATTTATTTTATATATTTAAATGCCATTTAACAAAGAAAAATCAACCAAAATAATGAGTTCGTGTGTCACCTCTGACACGCGTGTCATAGGTTCACCATCACTGGTCTAGTCTTTCCATCTGTTCTTTAAAAATAGAACCTCCCCCCCCCGCCCCTATTTTGTTTTGTACTGTGGCAACAAAATAGTTCCAAGAAACTGTTTTAAATCAGTGTTCCCACCATTTACCAGTCATGGAAAAGGCAAATGTTGAAAGGATAGACAGGGTGTCTTGAGCCAGCCTGTAGTTGGTGGCAGTTGGTGATACATTGTCTATATTTCTCCTCCAAAATTACACCTAAAGTTGTAAAATGAGGCCATTGGCTGTCAAACCATCACTAAGAACTTCTAGTTTATTTCATGTGAGAGAGGTCGTAATGCTTTTGTGGATTACATACCACAGTTAATACAGTGACCCTGCAAATTATTCATAACTGAGAGGCCACATTTTAAATGCAATGATAGTATCTAATTACATACCATTTACATATCATTATCAGAGCCTTTGAAATAGGAGGAACGTATAATGGTTTTCAGAATGTCCTATAGATCAAAAGAATGTATTTTCAAATGTTCACTTAAAAAAAAGTAAGACAGTTTAAAGCATTAGGTAACCTTGTCCATCGTTAGAGACTAGAACTTCCAAAGTGAATAAAAGAACCAAGGTTATCTATGTTTACCTTTAACTAATGGGAAAATCACAAAAGGAACCATAAGAGGAGCAACCCACTCTTCTCAGCATTCTCTTTAGGACCTGGTGTTTCTCTCCTCTCCTCAAAGAAATAGAAACAAATGCCAATATTCTTTCTTCAAAATACGAAATTACCTTGCACGAAAAACCCCTACCAGCACAGGGTTTCATTGGAACTAATTTGAGTAAAAATCAATATAGGCATAGGATCAAGTCTTTGTTTTTTAAGTTTAGGAGAGAAGAGTGCATTTGGAGTTTTGCATGAGAGCTACAGAAGTTTCAAACGGATGCATTTAAGATAAAAATCTTGACCTTGGAAAATGCTGGTGACTCGGCCTTGACAACTAAGCACTGATTGCCTCATTCTTTTCCTGCTGTCTATTTTTTATCTAATAGTTGTTATGTTTTAAACTGGTTTTTTTGACTTTCCAGAACAATATCTGATTAGCAAATAACACAATTCAGTGACATTCAGCAGTATGCAAATTCCAGACACTGCAATCATGAACACTGTGAAGACAGTCTTTTCTGTGGGCCTGGAAACAAAGCAGTCCACAGTATTGGGACAAGGCCAGGCATTACATTTCACCAGACGCTGCATGGAGAACCCGTCGTACATGATGTAGAAGACATACATGAAGACAGCTTCAAAGATGACCCGGAAGAAGATGCTGCTGGTATAGGTCCACCACAGTGACCCTTCAATTCGGACCTTCTGGTTTTTGATCTCTTCGATGTCTTTATATTCACTCTTTATCTCTCCCTTAATGAACTTCCTTTTCTTCTCATGCCTGTGGTAGGCCACATGCATGGCCACCAGGAGAGCTGGTGTGGACACAAAGATGAGCTGCAGGGCCCAGAGACGGATGTGGGAGATGGGGAAGTAGTGGTCGTAGCACACATTTTTGCACCCAGGCTGCAGAGTGTTGCAGATGAAGTCCGCCTGCTCATCTCCCCACACTTCCTTTGCAGCCACAACCAGGATCATGATGCGAAAAATGAAGAGGACGGTGAGCCAGATCTTCCCAATGCTGGTGGAGTGTTTATTGACACCCCCCAGAATAGTCTGCAAAGTGCTCCAATCCATCCTCTGAGGGCAGTTCGCTCTGGAAAAGACAAGACGAACACAATAGAGGAATGACTCATCAGGACAGAATCTGGGAGAGTTCTCTGGGTAAGTAAGCACCCTTAAGTCTCTTTCTGAGCAAACACCAACCCTTATCGAACCTCACCCAAAAGGTGAAAACCAAACCAACTTAAGTTGCCATAGGATTAAAAGGATGGTTCCCAAACCACCTTGAACCTGTGTTTATGCATTCTCCATAAAGGGCAGCTTATGCTTATTCACCTGAGTAACTCACCCAATCTTTAGCACATAATAAAAAAGTGCTCCTAACTTAGAGGCATAATTAGTGCTGACTGAGCCCCACCAACCTTGCTGTAAAGGTCAGCAGGCCATGTCTCCCTACAGAGCCATTTTCCTTAAACTATTTCAATGAATTGGACTTGGGATGTAGCAGTGAAATGTCTGTTACCAATGGTGAAGCTGACATTTGAGGCACCGCATGTTAAAATTTCACTAAGGGTCTCACTTCCTTTTTCTATATGAAAAAGAATAGGTTGGAAACTTTCTGTCCATGGAGAAAAGCCACTATGTGCACAGATGTTTGTGAATGTTTTGAGTATGGACTGGTGGGCCTCACCATCATGCTAAACTGATAGCTACCTGTGTTTCTAGAGAGGCATATTATGAAAAAAAGATGACAATAAATGAAACAAAATGACAATGATTCCCTAGTGATGCCCCACAGGGCGACGCTACTGTACTGAATACTGAAGTTCAGAAAACTCGGTGGGGTATGTACATCTTAATGAAAAGACACTTGAAGCCCGTGGGTCAATCTGCCACGAGCCAGTGGCCTTCTCTTCATCCCAAAGTATGAACTGTCTTCATTTATTCATAGTTACACCCCATCTGTCTCAATCAGTCCCTCTTCTAACAAGATTCCACTTCCCCACACTCCTGCTGGGCGATCTGTGTTAACCCTTTCTACGCTGGCAGTGAACCCTCCCCTTCTCTTACTTAAAAGCATAATGCGCTCCTCATTTTGAGCAAGTTGGTTCCTGTCTCCCCATGGACTTCCTAAGCAGGCTCATCACTTAGCCTCATCTCAGGTGGGTCACCAAGGTATGGCCAAAGCCATTCAATGCCACCTTGGTCAGATCAGGCAGGTGAGGCATAGAGACCAATCATGGACACAAACCTTGAAATGCACTTCAAAAACATTTAGCTGTACTTAGCTTAAAAAAGACAAACATCACTGGAAAAAAAACACACAGTGGTTCACCTGAGGTTCAGATCTGACCCTTTAAATACAGACTATCTGGAGGTCCTCCTAGGGGTGGACAGTTTAGTCCTGTCCGACAGCAAAACCAAAATTCATAGTCTAATCAAACTATGGAATTCGACAGTCCAATTCTTCACTGCACTAAGTGGAAACAGGACACTTACAGAAATAAGTTGTCCATCTGGCTAAAAATGGGGGGGGGGGGGATGGGGGCTTATGCCTTTGTCCTCTTCCAAAGTACCAAACACAGACCCCACACTCTTCTATAAACCAGTCCAACCACCATCAGCTGAGAAAACTACAGTGAGTCCTTATTGTTGTTATAGCTGCAACTACCTGTTTGTAGATCCTTTCAGGAAAAGGAGCAAATAAAATTGTAACCCACAAGTGGGACATGGGTAACAGGTCAAGATGGACTAATGCAGGATGAAACCACTGGGGAGCCGCTGTCCTGCCCTTCCTGACCTGGCCCACACCGCCCTGCCATTGCTTGGAACTCTGGCAGAGGAGGCTTCTGTTCTTTAGGGAAGGAACGATGCTCAGAAAAGGTAAATGCAGTTCTTTACCTTAATTTCTTCTCAATCCCTCATTTTTTCCTGACAGACCTGACCAGCTGCCTCCACAGAGTGGCCTGCCTTTCTCACAGGTGTCTAATTGTGCCTTAGCACCTGAGTTTTGAAACTGACTCAAAGAGCAAGCAGGGAAATGCCTGTTGCCACTCATCTGAGATGGAGTCCCAACTAAATGGTCATACGTGTCCAATTGTCAGAGGTGGGAGACGTTGATGAGGCTTATGTCCCTCCTCCAGGAGCAGAGGGTTTGTGCCACTGCCTGAAGGAACACTGTTCTCAGCCCCATGCGACCTTCCAGCTGGACAATGCCACCTGGAAATGAAGGCTCTCCGATTGTTCAGGAAAGAGGAACGAGGAAACCGTGTCTCAGGTTTAGGCTGCTGTGCCCTGCTCACAGGGCTGGGCCCAGAGTCCTGGCTCCTGGCCGAAGACTGATGGGAGCGCCCGCTTTGTACAGATCACCTCCTCCAGGGAGCACTCCCGCTTAACAAATGGAAGCCAGCCTTCCTTCTAAGCAGAGACTTTGGTACTTACACACTCCCGATGGCCGATGGCCGATGGCGTTAGGTTAGACTTCCCCAGGAACCTTACCAACGACGACCAACAACAGCGCTTTGGAATACGCGGCCCGGGCCCCCTCCTCCCTGGCACACGGCCCGGATCGGTCCCGTGCTGGGGTCACCACGTCCCCTCCCCGCCATGGCCCGACTCCAATTTCGGAACTCAGTGGAAGACTTTCCCTCTCAACCAATTCTCTCTGGACACCTGCCTGCCGCCCAGATCCGCTGTCGGGACTGCCGGGGACAAGGACCATGCGGGGGCCTCAGTGCGTGCGGGGTCCGCCCGGGGACCCGATCCGGATCCCCCCTGCCCCCGCCGTCCCGGGTCACTTCTCCGCGACGGGTCCCAGAGCGACGTACCCGGGGACCTACCCCCGCCGGGTCCCACAGTCCCCGGGCGTCCCAGGTCCCCAATCCGCCCCGGGTCCCCTCCCCGCCGAGTCCCACAGCTCCCGGTGCGAGACGCCACGAGCCCGGCGCCGGGCTCACTGGTGACCCGGGGGCTCTGGCGGGTCTGGCTCACCCGCAGCCGAGGGAGCGCGCGAGGGGTCTGGTGGCGGCGGGGGCGCTCGCGTGGGTCCTGGGCGGGGGCTGGGTGGTCCCGAGGGGTCCTGAGGGGTCCTGGCCCGGCCGCCTCCTCGCTCGCTGCCCACAGGGCGCCGCCGCCGGGTTGAGAGCCGAGGAGGAGAACTCAGGCGCCTCGGGTCTGCGCACCTGTGGCTCCAGCGGCGCCTTTTAACCGCGCCGGGCACCCCGCCTCCTCCCGAACTCGGGACAAAGTCCCGGAGGGGCGGCTCCTCGCCGCCCGGCCCCCCAGCGCTCGGGCGGGGCGTACCCGACTCCGGGTTCCAGAGCTCCCTCGGGTTCCTGAATCCCCCCTAGTTTCCCGAAGCCCCGGGGACTCTGGGGCCCCAGGACCCCAGTGTCCCCAGCTCCCCGAGTCCCCAGGCCTCCCCGCCCCAGCCCCGGTCGGAGTCAGGGTCAGAACCTAGGGAGGATGCAGAACTCCGGGGTTTGGCTGCCGGCATTTAGGGGGTGGGGTCAAAGGATAGTTCTTGCTGTTGTTATTTCTACTGGGTCTCTCTCAGGAGTATATTTGAAGCTGGGCTTTAAGTTAAAAAAATTATTTTTGGAGCAACAGGCATTCCCAACCATGTGAAGATTTATTTAGTTTTTTGATCCTCACCTGAGGATATGTTCCATTGATTTTAGAGAGTGGAAGAGAGAGGGAAAGACAGACAGAAACACATTGATTGGTTGCCTCCCGCTGGCGCCCTGACCAGGGCCCTGGCTGGGGAGGAGCCTGCAACGGAGGTACATGTCCTTGACCGAACCGAACCAAATCTGGGACCCTTGGGTCTGCACACCCACACTCTATCCAATGAGCCAAACCGGCTAGGGCTAACCAGCCATGTGAAGGTTTAAGTTCAGGCCACAGAGGGTGCTGGTCCCTGCGGAGTTGCCCCGGGGCAGGTTCCCTCTTAAGGAATCTGGGGACAGAGGGTGAGGAGATGGCATCGCCAGGTCTGGCCAAGTCTCCACTTCTTTCTCCCCAAAACCTTGCAGATGAGCTTGACAGCCGCCTCCTTGGTTTCTCCATTTCATTTGGTCACTTTCAACAATATGCCCATGGTGGGAGTCGGGCGGGCAAGTGGGGGTCGAGCCAGGCTTTGCCAAGGGCCCGGGAGAAGCACCACTGGAGCTGTCGCTCCTGCGCCCTGCTGCTTCCTCCTCCCACAGTTGAGAAATCGCAAGGAGGTGACTCAGTTTGGGGTGGGGGAAGCCCAGATTGTTCCGCAAGGAAGGAAAGAGAGTGAGTGAAGCCTATGACCTTCCTGACCCTACACATGCCTCACTAAAGGGCCCAGTGCCAGAGCTTCTGGAGAAGATGGCCGCAGCTGGTTCTTCTCCTAAAGACTGACCTCGGAAGGAGTAAGGCATCACGGTTCACATCTGGTTGGGTATTTTGACGTCTGGAGACACAGGTGACAGAGAGTGGTTATTCACAAAGCAAGTGGATGGAGAACTGAAGTTGCAAGAGCAGACCATGTTGGGGACGTTGGGCCTGGCCTCAGTGGAACCCTGTCCCTGCACAGAGCACCAGAGTGGAGACACAACCGACTTGCCTTTACTTGAGTCCAGTTCTGTGTTAAGCAAAAGATGACGATGATTCATCCTGACTGGGCAGATCTGGTCTCCGGAATGAATTTCCATCATTGTCACCATGAGCTTGAGGGTTTTGACTTTTCTTTGTAAAACTGGCACCCATCGCCATGGGCCAGCTTGAGCCGGCCTTGTACTGGTGCACAGGAGCCGTGTCCTGAGGTCACCACCCGCCTTCCAGCTTTAAGTCTTAGTCTTTAAGGGTGTATTTCATGAAGAGACAAAGCCCCACAGCTGCTCAGCCCTGCTTGGCCCATTCAAGAGATTTGCTGATTTGACTGGTTAGGAATGACAAGGCCAAGCCGGGTGGAGTTCAGGCACCTTGGTTTGAGCACACCAGTGAGACGTGGCTACATGGACTGGGGGGCAGGGGCTAGCTAAGGGGCCCTCCCTTTAGGTTTCAAGACAGGACTTTTCAGGAGTCTGTTAGAGTCCTGGTGGGTTGGAGTGAAGGGAGGGTCCAGAACTACTGTAGGAACCCAGCTGATGAAGATGGTTTGCAAATGGAAAGTTGACTCACTTTCCCCATTGACAAATCTCACCGTAGGACTTAATGTCTTCACCGTGATTGCAGGGTGCTGTTCAGCTGCCCTTTTCTTGTTTCCTCTGACTTATCCTCCCGATTTGCATAATTAGTATGTGTTATTGGCTAATTGTATATTTAGCCACTCTGTATTTTAGGATATACAGTTCTACAATTCAGCACTTGGTTTTATTTTGTTGTGTGTGTTTCTGTTTTTCTGTGCTGGTGTTTTCTTCCTAACCAGATTTAGATTCTTCTAGGGCAGAAAATCTTGTGTGTGTGTGTGTGTGTCCTCAAGAGTAGAGGAGGTGGGGGGATAAAATGGACACATATGTAATATCCTTTGTAATACTTTAAGCAATAAAGAAAAAAAAAAGAAAATGAATGCAACATGATTATAGTAAAAAAAAAAAAAGAGTAGAGGAGAAAGAGGTAAATAGAAAAAGGGTCTCAAGCTTGGAAATTTGAAGTTATCTCCAAATAAACTTAGACATATACACAATTACACAAATTACAGCACAAATTAATATTTTTATAAATCTTATAATTATTCTTGTGAGGAGCACTGTTTTGGTTAAAGGCAGTATTTATTAAATATAAACATTGAGAATTTGCCTTAATTTTGTCACTTTGTTTTCACGCATGTTCATCTTTTAAACATACAGCCTCTAGAGCAGTGGTTCTCAACCTTCTGGCCCTTTAAAATACAGTTCCTCATTTTGTAACCCAATCATAAAATTATTTTCGTTGCTACTTCATAACTGTAATGTTGCTACTGTTATGAATCGTAATGTAAGTGTCTGATATGCAGGATGGTCTTAAGCGACCCCTGTGAAAGGGTCGTTCGACCTCCAAAGGGGTCGCGACCCACAGGTTGAGAACCGCTGCTCTAGAGGAAGCACTGCCCAGCTCTGCTGTGTTCCTTCCAGCAGTCCCAGCACCACAACACTGGGGTGCTCAGGGCTGCCTGCTGCCTGATTGGCACACCTTTGTCTCATTAACTTGTAGGCACTGAACAACTTAGAGTTTTTGACTCGGCTTTACGGTAAAAAGCAAAACAAAACAAAAAACCCAATTCTGGTGTCTCCTGGGAAGGTAGTGAATGAAACTGACCGAGGATTGTTAATTCCCAGGAGAGATCGCACACTTATCAAATGACTATTGATGATTAACTGACGAGGATCTGTTACAGCCACACCTGGTCACTTCAGAGTGTCAGAGGTACGTCTGACTACTATTTTCATGTACATTCATAGTAGCAAGCAGGTAAATCCCAGGTGTTTATAAGTGAGCTGAACCTTCATGCGGATATTTAAAGTGATGCAGTTGTCAAGTTATAAGCTATTTGGTATTTTAATTTGATAGTTCTGTTATAAATAAACCGAAAAGAAAGAAGTTGCTATGGTGCAAGAAGTCAGTGGGAGACAAATACAATTTAACATATTTGAATGAATGATTGCTTTTTAGCTACATAATAGGCAACCCCTTGCATTCCCCCAGGAAGGGTGCTCTATATGTACATAAAAATGTCTTAGTTACATATCTGACTCACGAATCATATGTAGGTGAGAGCATAAAATGTCTCAAGACAAGAAGAGACTTGTGAGAGAATGGAGGACCTGTTCAAACACTTGGCAGTTTTAGAGCAAGTTAGGTCCTTTGAATCTCTCTTAGCTGTTAGTTATTAACATCATTAGCAATTGGTCTACACTCACCTTCTTGACTTTGCTGTTGTACTATTAATCAGATAAATGTAATTGATTTAAAAAAAAGAAAAAATTAGACTTCTTCAAAAGAGCAGTGGGAAACAAGGTAGAATGAGCCCCTGGCATCTCTGAGTAATTAATAACAGCTTACCCATGATGAATAAAGCAGGAGTGGCCTACGTATGACCATTTTTAATTTTTGTGATTATTTTGACAGAAAAACAGCATTTCACTATGATTTTTCTCTGCATTATTGACCCACATCCTCACTTATGGGTTCTGAAAATTGTTAATGTCAAATCATTCAGGGAAAAAACACACACAAGTGTTACAGTCACAGAGTTAAACAACAACAACAGCAACAACAACCCTTAGACTTCAACAATTTAATTGTCCTCTTCACTTTTAAATTAAAGACATCTCATTAAAAGCCCACCTTTTTTTTTTTTTTAATATATTTTATTGATTTTTTACAGAGAGGAAGGTAGAGGGATAGAGAGTTAGAAACATCGATGAGAGAGAAACATCGATCAGCTGCCTCCTGCACATCTCCTACTGGGAATGTGCCCGCAACCCAGGTACATGCCCTTGACCGGAATCGAACCTGGGACCCTTGAGTCCGCAGGCCGACGCTCTATCCACTGAGCCAAACCGGTTTCGGCAAAAGCCCACCTTTTGAATCACGACTAAAACTGTTACAAGGCTTTCCATTTTCCCCATTCTAATTTTATATTCACACATAAAATATTTTTGGGAAATTCGAGTTGCTGGACATGTCTCAGTTGCAAACCAAGGGTAAAGTAAGTCTATTTCCTTGACTTTACTGTATATGCTCTTTTACGACCATTTAAGGAGATTGTGAAGAAATTACAAAGTTTTTTCCGAATGTGTTTGTATCAAAAGCACTTTTCAACCAGAAATGAATGCAAAGCTGTAACTCCCTAGGCAAACTGGTAGGGAAAATTCACTTCCACTGAACATAAAAATTAAATTTTGTAAG